AGGGCTCATTCTCTTGATTCAAAAATGGTGCCTCACATGGCAGAAGGGGTGAACATGCTCCCTCTTTTATAAAGGCAGTAATCCCACTCATGAGGGTAGAGCCCTCATGACCTAATCACCTCCCAAAGGTGCCATCTCTTAATACTACTGCACTGAGGATTAGAATTTGGCAGGGGGCGGGGGGCACATACATTCAGACCATAAGACCAATAGCAGCCCTATACCACCTGCCTACCCCTTCACCTCTAACCTCACCTCTAACTACATGACCTTTGGCTTTCTCCATTCCAGCCACATCAGCATCCTTGGCATTCCCAAACACACATCAGACAAATTCTTGCTCTTTATAAGCTCTGCTCTTTATAAGCTCTGGCTATTCCTCTGCCCACAATATACTTCCTCCTCTGCCCACAATATACTTCCTCCTCTGTCCACAATATACGCGTATGGCTTTGCCCTCCCTCCCTCATGATTGCTTTGCTAAAAAAATACTTTCTAAACAAGGCCTATACTTATTTAAAGTGCAAACCACCACAATCTCCACCTCACATTTTCAATTCCCCTTACCTTGCTCTATGTTTTCTTTTCTCCTTGGCTCTTTTGCCTTCTAATACACCACATGATTGATTGCGTTTATTCTTTACTGTCTCTCCTCCCAACCCTCTTAGAATGTAAAGTAAATCCTAAACATCTAGAACAGAGCAGATTACATGCTACATAGTCATTAAGTGTTTATTGAATGAAGCTCAGGAAATTAAGTGAAATCTCAAACAACAACCCCCACCCAAAAAAAAAGTGTTACTAACAAAGATGACCTAGGCACTAAGGTATTGACAGGTAATTTAGTGTCAGTACTTACACTGACAGGGAAGTAGTATTATCTCAGACCCAAAGTATAAAGTATCTGATGGGCAAAAAATGCCCCAATGGGCTCTTGACAAGGATGGAATCCATATCCCGATACTGACCTCACAATTCTCATAATTACTTATTCCACCTCTGATAAAAAGTTTCCAGAGACACAATACCCAACTACTCAATCATTGCAAGCATATCAGTTACATCATCATCTATAATCATAATCAATATAAAAAGGTTCAGAGGTATTGTGAGAATCATAAACCCTCTGTAAAATACCTAATGCCCAAAATATAGTAGGTATTCAACGGATGTAAGCTAATCACAATGATAATACTATCTTTGATGGAAAATGATTTCTAAAAGCAAAACAAATATTTGAGAAAAGTAAAAGCTGTATTACATATTTTATACCCTATTTTGCTATCTTTCTCCATTTCCTTAAACTGATTTATCAAACTTAACTATAGCATTAACCCAGACTAATGAGATCAGATAAACTGTACAATGAAGTGTCAATTTCTTAATTTTAAAACCTGCTATTATTTTTAGTAGATGATAAACAATTTATGGAGCTATCCTACTTTAGGAATACATAACATATGAAAAATTCTAATTTACAAAATAAATGCTTGTGAATGCTTCACTTAACAAATGGATTCACCCTAGTATTATTTTAAATGTTCATTTACAAATCTTTATGGAGTTGGAGGAAAGAAGGAGAAAGTAAAGTACTAGAAGCCAATGTGTCAGAAAGATAAAGTGACTATGAAATAACAACATAAGCAACAGAGAAGCATTTTGAATACAGTATGCTCAGTATGTTAGGGCTGAAAAGATTGTCAATCTTTTAATTTAGAAAAAATTCAACTGATGTACAATTTTTCAGAAAAATAACTACAAACTTCCTTAAGGACAATTTTAATTCCTAGAATAACATGATGATCCATCCAGCCATAACAAATAACTAGAGCACCCAAAACGTGCTTTGATATTCATGGCTCTGGGTCCCTGAGAACGCTCTCCCTGCTGGCACTACCATCCTTTGGGCTGTCTGCCCAGCACTCTTCTTACACTTCTTAAAATGACAGTTCACCTATCATCATCTTCAGTTATTATTCTGTCTTCCCTCTATAGCAACAGTATAAATCTCAAACAAAGGGATGTACAAAGTACAGTGATAACACAAAGAGTATGTAATCTACTATTCTTTGCTGGATCAGAAGACACCTTACAGATGTGGTGTGGGTGATTGAGAAGTTGAAAGGGGAATGGAAAAAGAAGAGAGGCAGAATCTTGCAAAGGCAAGGGTATAAGAAAAAAGACTATCTTTACCTTTGGAAACTCGGTGTAGTTGGTGGAGGATCGAGAATAGCCAGAGATGAGGCTTAGAAAAGGAAGAATTCATACTTATAACTACTTTAACACTGTCTGTAGTGCCTAGCACTATGTCTACCATGCAACAATAGATCAATAAATGTTTATGGAATAAATTTGCTAAATTAGAAAAGCACAGAAGATAAAAAAGAATTTCCAAAGAGTATATCTTAAAACTACTTTTTAACAATATGTGTAAATATGTGTAAAATAGAAGACTAACAATTATTTTCAAAGTATAACTGATATTGTTCACTAAAATGGCTAAGGTATTGAAATATAGTTTATTTTGCATAAAATTTCATTTTCTAATGAGTTACAAACATGAATATATGTAGCAACTTTTCTGAAGTTTCATGTAAAACCAAAATTCTTTAATCAGATGCAATGATTTGGAGCCTTTTTATGTGGCATGGACACCTTTGGTGGCCTAATGAAGCCTTCTCCAAATAATGTTTATAAATTCAAAAAATAAAATTCATATGATAAAAAAAAGAAAAAGACATGAAAACAATCCTAAATCACAAATAAAACCAATCATATTTTTTGCCTAACATTCCATACATATGTAGTATCTATAGTATTCCTATTAGTATAAAAAAAATTCATGATAATTAACCAAGAGTAGAATTTTATTCATTTGAAATTTAAATAAACTGTGAGGGTTTTTATCTGTGGCAGAACAAGTTGCATCCATTTCTTGTTCCTAATATGTGCCTATATTGTAATGCAAAATTTTCTAAAATCATCAGTACAAAATTAATAATATAGTAATGCTATATTTATATCATCACTAATTTCGACCTAGCTCTTCAAAGATACCTCTATTAGCACACTTCCTTCCTTAAAACAAGGTGGGCTTAAAGCATGAGTAGGCTAGATTGGCAATCTTTTCAGCCCTAACATACCAAGCATACTATATTCAAAATGCTTCCAGATGTAATACATAAGCTACCTAGCTTTCTATAGGTTGTCTTTGCGGTCTATAATTAAGAAAACACCTTACAGTTAAAGCTATCCAGTAAGATCTGATAAGTATTTTAGCAACTAAACATTTTTGTAGGATAACTTAATCCACTACTTTATAAAGATCAAATATATTAATATTTCCGGAAAGTTGTAGGATAAAGCAACATCCCCTCTAGTAGGTGAGTGAGTTCCAAATAGTGCCAGCAGGAAAAATAGCTCTGATTTTGGCTTTTAAAAGTGTACGTTACCTGAAAAGAAATTAAAATTTTCATTTTTTTCACTTTGTCTTGCTGAAACAAACTTCTAAACCATATGGTATCAAATTTGTATTTCTTGATACTGCAACTTAAACATTTACTTGACACTAAGCAATATAAAATTTCTTAACAGTACATGAACTCATAAGAGTATTGTGGTATTTTTGTTTTTAACTAGGTGGAAATGTGTACCTCCCTATTAAAATAACTATCTTTTTAAAAACTCTTTTTTGCATCATTTAGAGAAAATAATAACATTAACAAATTGAGTTTTAGTGTCAAGTTCCATGAACTCTATACATTCATAAAAATATATATTTTTTAATTCATAGGGAAAAGGGAAGGCCTGTTCTTGGACTCTTTTTCACACTTTAGGAAAAAATACACATAACTACCAGTTAGTTGTATTAATGAAAAAATGTTAACAAAACACTTTCATGATTTAAAGGAGCTGACTTTAAAAGGCTCTAAAATATAAAACCAGAACCTTATTTCTCAGACCTTAACTGACACCTACTTACAGTGTGTTTGCCTATTTGGAATTCTTATGACAACAGCACATAATTCATATATTACTTTTGCAGAATAAGTTTTGTTCATTTTTGGTTTCTTAAAATTAGGATGAAGGATCTTTGCCTAAACCATCATCACAGAACTAAAAAAACAAAAAAGAAACTAGAAGTAACAAGCATCAATTTAGCCAAAAGTTCGTTTTCATCAGAATTTTGTGATAGCACTTGCTACATCTTTTAAATAGAGAAAATGAGCAAGGCTTTCCTTTAAAAAACAAACTAAAAGTGACTCAGAGGCTAATCACAAAGAACTTCCTAAGTTTACTATTAAACTTACCTCAAAACCAGCCTTGAAAATTCCTTGCAAAAAAGCATTTATATCTATATAGTTCCGGATTAGAAAACTTAGCTGCCCAATGGATAAAGCCTTGCAGTCCATTTTGCAAGCATTAATCAGACTTTGCATTAATAAAGAAACCCTGTGGATGGGTAACCAAGCCCAGAGCCTGCTCAGATTGCAGGCTCCGGCAACCCTGTTACACCTGTGCAAGTACTTCCTGTTCTCCAAAGCTATTCAAAAGTAGTTTGGGGAACGGCCCCCGAGCCGTCGTTGGGAAGCTAAACATTAACTTTACACATTACTACCACCACCGAGAAACCACCCACCCCAGACTTTGGCGAATCCGGTCCTCTCTCTTCTCGGAGGGGGAACATCACCGCCCGGATCCCTTTAACGCCCGAGCCAGGGCAGAGGCAGCTGCCCGGAGCGGCGGGAGCCGCAGCCCCGCGGGACCCGGCCGCCCCTCGCCGCCCTCCCGCCGGCGGCCGCACGAGCCGGGGCAGCGCGTCCCCGCCAGGCCGGGCGCGGCGGGCAGGGCCGGGGTCCGCGCGACCACCGGCGCCGCAGCGCCCACCGGGCGGGGGCTGCGCGCGAGACCAGGTCCGCGGGTGGAGCCAGCGCGTCCCAGCCAGGCCCGCGGGTCGCGGGGCGTCGGCTCCCACCCAGGGACCAGTCTCGGAGTCTTACCTGCGCTGTCCCCACCCTGCACGAGGAGCGTGCGGTCCAGGCGGGGAAATACGGCCTCGCACTCCCACACAGCCGCTTCCCGCTCCCACACAGCCACCTCGCGCTTCCACACAGCCGCCTACCGCCGCCCAGCGCCGACACTGCCGCACCGAGGGCCGCCGGCAAGTGGAGCGGAGGCGGCCGGTCCCCGCCGCCCAGAGCCCGGCCCAGCGCGCGGAGCATGCGCACACGCGTCGGCACCAGGGGCCAGTCAGGGCAGTGACACCTGCGATCAACAGGTCCCCGGAGCCCCGCCCCTCTCCCCGCCTCGCGTCCACCCCGCCCCCTCAGGGCTGGCCCCGCCTCCACGCTTACCGCGCTAACCCCGCCCCCGCACGCGATTTCCCGGCTTTCCGGACCCGGCAAACTCTATTCCCGCGGGGATTCGATGCGGCGCGCGATCCGGCTGGCGTTCTCCGAGGCGCGAGATCCCGCGAGAGCAACATCTCGACCATTTCCCCAAAAGCGGGAGCGCGCTGTTGGGGCAAGGTGGCTGGAGGTTGTGTTGTGTATTGTAGCGAGAAGGAGAAGCAAGTTCCTCAAGAGAAGATTATTTCTGTGCTCTTGGTCGTTTATTGGGTGTTTTCTAGACTCTAGAAAGCCGGTCCACCAAGGGCTGCGCTTCGGTGAGGTGGTGTCACCTGAGAGGGAAGACAGTCTACTGCTTGACGTCGAAACGCGCGGGGACGCCGTTCCCTCTGGCTTTCTGAGCCTTTGGGATGTTTGCAATTAAATGGCTTCTTCTGGCGTGAATTTGTGTTTCCCAGCTGGTTGTTTCGTGACCATTAATAAAAAAGCTTTTAATAAGCCTGTTGACCTGGTTAATAGTTAATCGTCAGAAAAATTTGGCGGCCTCCCTAACAGTGGTCTGGACAGGTTTTAAGTTACAAGGTACTGCTGGGAATTGGACTCGTTGTTTGCAAAATGTTTCTTAGGAATAGCAGTAAAAGAAAAACCGTATCATTGGTATCAAACACCATCATTGGTATCAAAACTCTCAGTAAGTAGATAAATAATGTTTTGGAACTAATTCCAAATCTTGTGTAAGTAGAACATACTGATTGTAAAAATGGATTTAAACTCATAGGTAACTCTAAGAGTTTATTTGAAGTAGGATGAACATTGGAGGTTGATATGGGTGACAAGTAGGACCAGTCTATACTGTTTGAGACAATCAATGGGAATTTAGTGAGCCTTTACTATGTTTCGTTTACTGAATTAGGCATTGAAGGCATTAATGAAATTAAGCCGCAGTTCCTGCCAAGATATTAAAAACTTGGAGGGAAAAAGGGTAATAAAAAATCTACTCTACATTTTTAAAACAGTATGAACACCATGAAGTCTCCCCTTGATTTCCCTAATGCCATTCCCTCCCCATTCTGCAGCTACCACTCTGATGCACTTAAAATATTTTTCTTCCTCATCATGCCCTCTATCAGGGGTCCTCAAACTATGGCCTGCCTAGGACATTGCCGCCACTGCCTGTCGTGCTTAGCAGCCTTCTCGTTCTGGGCCCACAGTGCGCATGTGTGAAATGTGCGCCACACTTTCCAAGGGCCCTGCAAGGGTCTGAGGGACAGTGAACTGTCCCCTTGTTTAAAAAGTTTGAGGACCCCTGCGGGCTCTATGTTTGTGAGCACTCCATTTTCTTTTGTTGTTTTCTGGTTTAATGTTAATCCTCAAAGAACTCCCAGATGTGCATCTTTAGGTCAGACCCAATAAACAACAACATCTTCATTTGGATTTCACACAGGTACCTTAAATATGTCCCAAATTGGCGTAGGCATCTTTACCATAACTTACTCTTGATGTCATGTCTCTCCTCACCCGTCTGGGACCAAGGCCATTTCCATTCCCTATTTCAGATACTGGCACCCAATTGGAAATCCATGAGTACCCCTGTTACTTTTCCTTCATTCCCTCTATCCTAATATGAAATTGTATTGACTCTTATCTCCTTAATTATCTCTCAAATCCATTCCTCTTTTTAATCTCCACACTCACTAAGTCCTTTGAGTAATCATCATCCTTTTTGACAATCTCCCTTATACTAGTGCAATATCTACATAATATCCTCTAGTTATTTTCCACTCCAGTCTAACCCCCATTGTTTTAATTTTCTAACATGAAAATATGATCATGATACTTCTCTGCTAAGAATTTTTCAGGGCTTCCCATCACCTACCAGTGGAACCCTTCATAATCTGAGCCCAAACTTCTAACTTCATCTGCCATTCTTCCTCTATTTACTTCACACTAGTCATTCAAAATTCCTTGCTTTTCTGTGATCTTACTAAGTTCTCTCAAGATCTGTTAGGTCTCAGTTGAATATTTATCTCCTCCATGTATCGTTTCATAACTTTCTGAGACAGACTTGTCCTTCTTTCACCCTTTTTGGACTTATTATAAAAATTATGTTGTACTGTAGTTATTTCTCTGCAAATATGACTGACAGGGCAACCTTCACCTCCACTCTTGATAAATGATGTGAACTATGGATAATAATAGCTTATACTACCTCAGTTCCTAATTTGAGATTACAGAAGAATACCCTTCAGTTTACCCAGCTCAAGAATTTGAATAGTCCAGGCACGATGCCTGTAATCCCAGCCCTCTGGGAGGCCAAGGTGGGAGGATTATTCGAGGTCAGGAGTTCGAGACCAGCCTGAACAAGAGCGAGAGCCCTGTCTCTACTAAAAATAGAAAGAAATTAGTCAGACAACTAAAAATATATAGAAAAAATTAGCCAGGCATGGTGGTGCATGCCTGTAGTCCTAGCTACTTGGAAGCTGAGGCAGAAGAATTGCTTGAGCCCAGGAGTTTGAGATTGCTGTGAGCTAGGCTGACAACACAGCACTGTAGCCCCGGAACAGAGTAAGACTGTCTCAAAAAAAAAAAAATTAAATAAGTCCTGACTGTACACTTTTTTAATTATATAATTTCAAATTTTCTACCAGTCTCGGCATATCTAAGTACTGATCTTTATATGATAGATTTGTAATAGGTCCCAATTTAAGCATTGCTAGGGCAGACTCTGAAGCAAACAGATGGGGGGGAAAAAAAGGAAAACTGATATCGCATTGCATAACAGGACAGGAGTTGCTCCCAGAAAACTTTGAGTTGGAAAGGTCACAACATGGATTTTAAATGTATTACCTTTCAGAATTACTATTTGTCCTTGAAGGATATGTATGTGGGTTTGATTAAATAGTTTCCGATTGGGTGGCCCCAAATTTATAAAGAATGATCTCTGCACCTCACACAGGTGAAGAGATCATGAAGGGGAGTCAGCATGGAGTGTCAGAAAACAGCCTCGATTGACCAACAGAGTCCCAGCCAAGGTTCATACCACTAGCATGCCTACACACACCTCAGTGTTATTCTGGATTGATTATAACTCAGACTTTGGGAGACGCACTATCCTGTGGCTAGATTCCCCCTGCCACTGATGACTAGTAGGAATAGCGACATTCTATCCTGAGCAGCTGTGATACAATAGTTCCAGGAGCAAATCATGACTGAGGTGGGTGGGGTAGAGTGAAATACAGCATAGGGAAGTAGTAGCTGAATGACTGACTCAGATACTACTACTTAGTCTGCTGAATGACTCAGAGATCCTAGACAAAATCCTTCCTTTCCTAAGTTCATTAATAACAAAGACTGGTAAGTGTTTTTCCAAATAGGCTTACCCTAGAGAGCAGGAACCATAATTATCATTGTATTTCCAGAGCATAGCACAGTGCCTAGCACAGATGCTAAACAAATATGTGTATAGTGGATAGAATGAAAAATAAGTTTTGTTGGTTTTTTTAGAGAATACAGATGTCTGTGTGGGCCGGTATTGTTGGAGAGGGCTTCTGTGGTTGATCAGATGTGAGCTTCAGCTTGGAATGGTCATAAACAAGAATATTTTAAGGCACTGAGGAAGTGATATGACTTAAAAGAGCAAAGTTTTAGAAACAGGAATAAACAGAGCCAGTGCAGGGATATAATGGGAAGCCTTTGTAAATTCTTGAACAGAATGATTAGGTTGGAATGAGATACAGAAGAATTGTAGGGGAAACTATAGGTAGGCAAGAAAAGAAATCTTTAGGCTGTGACTCAATGAGCCAAACAGAAAAATCTAGTCCTAATTGCCCACTCCCTTGTCGACACACATCTCAACTTTTATGACATCATCTTTTCATGGCTTTCATTCTGCCTCATTGGCTGCTCTTTCTCAACCTAGTTTTATGTTGCACTTTTCAATCTGCTTTAATCTAAATGGTTATTTAGTGCCTGATTCTAAGATCTCATTTATCATGGTTTTCAATCCATTTCCCACACAGCAGCCAAAGTAGTCTATTTAAAATACAGATACGATATTTGCCCCCTTAAAATTGTTCAGTGACTTACCATTAACATAGAAAAAAATCCAAAATTGTTTCCAAGGCCTACAGAGCCCTGAATGATCTGTCCTTACCTCCCCAACAGCAACTTATGCTAATCAAAGATTTGCATTCTTTCTGCTCTATGTCTAGAAGAGTAGTTCTCAGCTGGGGGTGATTTTGTTTCCCATGGGACACTTGACAATGGCTGGAAACATTTTTGGTTGTCACAGCTGGGGGGAGGATGCTGCTAAACATCCTTCATTGCAATGGACAAGGGAGCCCCCCACAACAAATAATTATCCAGCCCCAAATATCAATCATCCCAAGGTTGAGAAATCCTGACCTAAAACCTTCTTCCCCTAGGTCTCAAAGTGACTGATTCCTTTTCATCTTCTATATGCCAGTTTTAACTTCACTATCTTGAGAAAGCCATCCTTGACCTAGATCTTCCTGCTTATGTCCAACACAGTGTTACACAGTGTCCTGTTTATTCACCTCACATCACTTTGTCACAACCTACGACTCTTTGACTTATTTATTTTCTTGTTTATTGTCTTTCTCCTTAGGTAGAAAGTTTGATGAAGGGTATGTCTCACTTGATCAACATTTTATCTATAAAATCTATCTGACAAATTTTTATCTGTAAATCTAATACAATGGCACACAGTAGGCATCCATGTCAGGTCCAGCCTGTTGGTGGACTGTTGTCCTGGTTCTTTGGCTCCTGGCTTGGAAAATTCATAAGCAGGGCCAGTGCGACTGAGTGTCCACAGACAGGAAGCAATTCCATACAAATAGCTTTTATTGCAAAAAAGAAGGAAGCTATAAAA